AGTCATTTCTGCTGACAAAAGGAGTTGAATGTTATCCAGCAATCTTTGAAATACAACTCGAAACTGAAACAAAACATAAAAGGGAAAAGATGGGAATTTAATTTTAAATGGAACATCACTGTATGTAATGCATACCTAATAATATAGAAAAGATGATATAATAAAAAAATTATTTTTAGTACAATATTTTTTCTTGGATAATTTATCAGTGTTGGTTTGATTCTATGTAACCCAGAAGGCTTGTTGGGATTTCTTTCTGTTTTTTCAGTGTGCTTACTTTGATAATGTATCCTGGGTCCCCATTTTGGATTAGCTAACAGTTAAAGAGGTTTGGTATCCCCATAAGAGGTTGGGAATGTAGAACTATTAATCTTTCAATAGCCTTAGAAGGTCAATAAGGCTGGGGTGAGGCATGGGTTACACCAAAGCAAAGATTAATGTGAGCGGACCACTCTCTGTCATTCTTCTTGTCTGAGGGGAGATGCATTACCTTTTTACCCCTTTCCCCCTTTAAAAAAAAAAAAAAGGCTACCCCTGTCCTCCGGATCCCACCAGAAAGAAAGCTCCAAGAATGCTGAAACTATACATGGCCTGCATCCACCACAGAGCCCACCACATAGTAGATGCTGAATCAGTATTTGTTGACAGAGTGAATATATATCATGTCTGTCATGTGGCAGGCCAATGATAACCATGGGAACAATGACCTCGTTGACTTGGGAGACCTTTAGTCCAGAGCAATCCAAAAGCCTTGTGGCAAGCTTTTGGGTTAGGTTTAAAAGTCCCAGATCAGGCAGAAGTGCACTTGGATCAGGCAGATTAAGGGTCAGCTGAAGACCATCGGGGAGAGCAGCCCAGGCCTGTAGGAGTGACAGGCGCTTGTGAAGAGCAGAGAGAGCCATAGGTTGTCAGTGACCTTGTAGGCCCCAAACACCAATGTCAGTAATTGAGGGTGTACAGTCCTCGTTAATTAAAAGTTATCTGACAACTTGAGAAGAAAAACCAAAGGATGTCCTCTAGAGAGTATTTCTTGGACCCTCGGGGGTGTTAAAGTCAAAAGAAATGCAATGACAATCCAGAAAGAAACCTGGGTCCTTTTTACACCTGCCCCCTGACACAGGGTCATGCTGGTAAAATTCACGATAGAGACCACAAATAAAGCTAAGTGCTCTACTCGTCCATTTCATTTATTACACCTTCCATTCTGTGCCTGCAGCCCAAGAGGAAGACTGGTTCTGACCTCCATGGGCTTGAATGGTCCAGGTTGATTTCTGTTCCTTGTCTTCCTTTGAAACCTAAATATACACTTTCCCAAGGAGGAAAAATTTCAACAGAAAAGTGTTAGAAGGTGAGTGGAAAGGTGGGTTGGAAATTCTTAACTGACAAATTATTATAGAAACAAAGAAAAGCATAAGGGGACTCAACAGAAAACCATCTAAACAAAAATGAAGGTAACATCGACAAGAGGTAGGGCAGAAATCTAACCCAGCAAATTAAAGACTTTAAACTTTCTGCTATAATTTTGTAATTATTTCCTATAACTTGATTTAGACAGCTTAGGTATAGAAGTCAACTAGGGTATAGACTAACAGGTCAAACTTCTAAATAATGATTCCACAAGCAAAAAGCCACACTGAGAGGAGGAGGAGAGCTGATTCTTCTTAAAAAAGAGATGATTTTTATCCTAAGAACTGCCAACTGGTATGAGTATCCATATGTCACCAGGAATGACACAGATGTTCTATATTCATTTTCACTACCTTTGATGGTGAGTATTATCATGTGCCTAACAGATGACAAGACTAGGAGGTTAAGTACCTTGCTCAAGGTCACAAAGGAAAGAAGAGGCAAAGCTGAAATTCTAACCTAATCTCTAACTCTTAAGGTTGAGTTTTTCCCACAGTACTGCCCATAACATATATTTGTTCAGTAATAGAAGAGTGACAATATTAGATTTCTCTTCAGGGAACAATTTTCCAAGACTATATTTTCCATTGAGCTGTGTCTGAATTATTGATTTGTTTATAATTGCTATCCCTTACCATAAAGATTTATGTTCAGTCTGGGGAATAAGAAGTCTATTGGAATGATAGTTTTCTTCATGACAACTACATCATATATAAATTAAAATAAACATAACTTCATAACGACCTGGCCAGGTGTCGCTAAGTATTATAATAACACATTCAACATCTGTGAGCATCTCGACAAAAATTACAAATGATACGCCAGGCAAGCTGCTGTTTCTAAATTAATGCATCCTGCAGAAAAAGTTTCAAAACTCTCAGTATACTACACTGAAAATATGTACAAACATGAGACACAAAGAGAGGAGACAAGTAGTTGGAATATGAGTAAAGCAACAGGAGGCAGAGTAGGGAGTGGTCCTCTTGAAGGACGACATTTTCCCAGTAACAGGCAACATCAAATTTTACAATTTCAGCCTGGCCGGCATAGCTCAGTGACTGAGCCTCAACCCAGGAAGCAAGTGGTCATGGGTCCGATCCCCAGTGTGGGGTGTGCAGGAGGCAGCCCATTGATGTTTCTCTCTTATCTCATCAGTGTTTCTGTCTCTCTCCCTCTCTCTCTAAAAATCAATAAAAAGTAGTTAAAAACAATTTTACAATTTCTAAGCAGCCTCCATGAAGTTCTATAGAACACGTCTCTACTTATCCCAGTTAAAGAAGGAGCGAGGCCTGTGTTTTTCCTTCCTCACGTTTATAATTCACACAGGGTAGGGATCACACACAGCCCTCCCTAGCAGAGCAGTCACCTCAATAACATGCTGTTTCTCTGGTTACAATGAATAATCCTTTTTGCTGTCTTTTTTGACAAAAATTATTCATGTGTTGTTGGCATGGAACCAGGAAAAAAGAGAAGAGCTGAGCGAGCTTTCAGTAATTTGTTCAAATTTTATAATCAAATAGCAATTATATGACAATCTCATAAACTATCGACCTTTTCCTCTCATCCTCCATGGGGCCCTAACATTTTGAACAGCAGAATCAAAAAAGGCACAGAGACATTCACCACAAACCCTCTAAATGCTGCAAACCGGAGGAAAAAAGGAGAGAGACAAGGTGGGACAGAGCCTGGAAGGACTGAGGAAAAACGCGATGGGTTCTCATTACCATGGGGGAGGCCCAGTGTTCACTTCTGGTTCCTCTCACCTGCACTGGATCAGGGACAGCACTGAGGCAAGTTTTACAAAACTGCTGCCTGGGCCCTATCTCCTAGGCGTTCTCATTTGTGAGTGAAGCTCAGACATCAGTGTGCTTTCAAACCCCCCACGTGATTCTAATATGCACTGACCTAAATAATGGAGAGACATGAATAAGTGCAAAGCATACTGGCAAGGTTTGAGCATGCTTTTCGCCTCACCAGAAGAAAAGGAATCCAACAACCTCAAGACATCGGATCAAGAGACTATCACTAACAATAAATAAGAGCACCAATAAATAATGGCACCAATAACAAAACAAACCTCTTCCAAGACCTACGAAAGGAAAGGAGAAGCATTTTGTGTGAAACTTTTATCCATCCCCCTCCTGTAGGAAAGCAACATTTATCAGTAGAATATTCTGTGCTAACCATTAAACTTGGTGCCCGGCCCATAAAGGAGTATGAAGTCAAACATTAATCGCACACTTTACAAATGAGGAAACTGAGCCGCAGAGGTGCAGGCCAAAGAACAAAGACAGACCTTGACCCCAGATCTGTCTCAAGTGCATAGCTTTTCTCTTCTCCATATCTTCTGGAACGTTTCTCTGCACTGTCTAACTTAATGGATGCTGTAACAGAGTGTAATTTCAGGAACATTTTCCACTGTGGAACCTTGAAGGTTTCATTCTAAGAAACTTAATCCATAGGTCTCCTGGCTATTAGCAGGCTAACATTGGCGGTGAATAGGTAAAGGGAAGGAAATAAAGTTGAAATGGCAGATCGAGGCCTAATGAAAAAGGGCCTTGAATGCCAAGTAAAGAGTCTGGAATGAATGACTGTACTACTTAATTAACAAATCTATATTTACTATTCTCCAAAAATAAACTCTGAAAAGAAATTAAGGTTATTTTTAAGCCAAATCTTTTTAATATTATGTTTAAATTATAGTTTTAGTAGAGTTTTTCCAAAGGATGAATTTAGCAGCTGATAAAATACAACCCTCCTACTCAGGGCAGCTGGTCAGCCTGACATCCCCGGAGCGGAGTGGAGTAGTAGCATATGTCACCATTAACAATAAGAACTTAACAGGTCACTAGTTTCCGTCAAGGTAGAGAGCATATTCTCAATTATAAATGGACAAATAAAATATCAGAAAAGAGAAAAGAAACCCACTTAGATCTCCAAAAAGCCAGATATCTGTCTAAAACTTCTATATTTAGATCAAACACACAAATTAATAAGAACAAATATAAACCTAAATAAAAAAGGAAAAACTAGGTTATTTTTCTTTATTTCTCCAACAGGATGATTTCATACCTTTCATATTTTTATAAAACAATATGATTTTTCTCCACCTTAACTGAACACTGAAAATTAAGATAATTTAAAACATTGCATACAAATGTATACTCTTTCCTTTACTCTCTATGTATCTAAACATGGACATTTCCAATGCATTAAAAAAAATTTGAAGCATTAAGACGTTTGGCATTTGGAATATCAGAACTCAATGTAATAATTATAGTTATATTTATTAATCAAATATTTAATTATCCAGATATTAATTTTCATTGTATAGATCTTTTAGCCATATGTTTTAATCCTATGTGAGTGTGTGCATGTACGTGTGATTACATGTAGCAATAGTTGATATACATGTTCATTTTACTCTGGTATAGTCTCACAATTTCTTGCTTTTTTCCTGTTATGATCAGAGTTAGCCCAAATAAAGATAAAAGTCTCTAGGAAATATTGCTCTTGATGTCTCTTTAAAACCTTTCAAAGACTCTGTAGCTTTTTATTCTTGAAAAGGATTAGAACAATGGCTCATTACATACCATAATCTGTGATTTTACAGGACACCAAGTACAGCTCTTTCAGGTTTTGTCCTTCCTTTGCGATGACCTCCACACACCTGAAACACACACAAAAAGTGGTGAGTTACACTAATGTGTTTCAAGTTAAATTAGAAGAGTTTGGACAGGACCATAACAGGAAGAGGTCAGCATTTGATGAATGCCACAGCTCTCTTCTTTCAACAAACCTCTTTCTAGGTGTTTCAGGAAAAGGTATTATATTCCTGCTTTAAACTGAAGTGCTCTAATACCTAAATGACTTTAATTAAATACATTTATGACTAGTGCATCTTTTACAACCAAGCTATGAAAAAAGAGATATTCCTGTAAGAATAATGTTACATTTGGTAATAAAAGGCTGGTAAACATATACTATATAATGAGCAGGTCATTAATATTATAAAGTAATATAAAAATGATTATAATGAAAGTGTAGACTATATAGATGGATGGTGATTATAAGTGGATGATAATATTGCTATAGTTCAATTATGAATATGGGCTTGAATTGTTTTGTGAAATTTTATTTAACATAAAATATGCTTTAAAAATCTATAACATTGATTATAGAAAGAAAAATTTTTGTACACATAAGAACTTTAAAATCTTTTCATTTAAAGTGGTTTCTACTTAATATTTTAATGAATTATTGCATAGACACAGGCCATTTCAATAATACTGATATAGATATGTAAGATTTATAGTCTTTTCTGGTTTAAGTTAAAAGGTTTTGAATGGTACACTCTGCTCTAATAGCCTTAGTGGGACATGTAGTGCAGAACTGAATGAACTTTAAAAATAATGATTAACAACACTATCCATTTTGTGGCTCAGTTCCCTATAATATCAGAAAAACCTGTACAGTCACAGTGACACATGGGCACATGCAGCCTTCAGTGCACTCCCTGTTTTAATCTTTATAAATAGCAGGTAAGTAAAAGGGTAAAAGCAAAAAGAGTCATTAACCTTTTCTAGGAAGGAAGGATCAAGTAATTTGATACCTATGTGTATAATCCATCAAAAAATTACCGAGCAGCCATCTCTGTCTCTCAGATATTTTATTTGCTGTCTGGCTTATTTGTAGGTATCTTCATAAAATGTCAGGAAATTTTATGTAATTTTACTTCCTATAATTCATTGTTGAAGGTTAAATTAGTTATATAAAAGGCACATTTTTCTTTAAAATATATTTTTATAAAATATTATTTTAATGGAATGATAAACATTTCAGAGTTCCTCAGAATAACTGAATAAACATTCTTTTGAGGGTATTTTAAAAATTATGATAAAAATTGATAAGGACTTCCATAGCAATAAAAGAAAACTTAAAGCTTTAATAAAATATAGTTATGATTGGTACAGTTTATTATGAAAAGAAATTTAAAAACCTAATTCCATGTCATTTGGCTTTAATGTAGCATTTTAATAAAATCAGAAAAAGAGAAGAATAAAAGGAAAAAGGAAACATTACTGGCAACAACCATGTTTTCTATATAACTTTAAAAACTAATTTTCACATGCTAAGAATAAAAAATATAGGCCCTGGATAATTACAAAATCTTTAGTAGTTAAAACAAAAGCCTGACTACTTTCTATCATATCAAGAAACATATTTCCCAGTCCTCCATTACCAACCAAAAATGTTAGTAGAACCAATATTTTGTATGGTCAAAATGAAAGAAATTAGTGCAGAAATAATCATCATACCATTTATTTTGTTCTCATGCTCTTTTCATGTAGTTCAAAATGCCCGATTTTATACTTTTTAAGAAAGAACTCTAAACAAATGCAATATCCTACTTATGTTCCTGCCACTTGATCCTGCATTAGATATGCTACCAGCACATATAAACATTAAAGATACACAGGGCAGACTATAAACAGCAAATAAGACAAATTGATTTTCCTGCACAAGTCAGATCAAATGCTATTTCATAGGCAACAGGAACCCGTATTCATGTAACACAAGATAATCAATCACTGGATGGAAACTGTCCTAAAGCTGATGAAAGGCCATGAGCATCGGGTTTCCTCACTACACAGCAGAGACAAGTTATTATGAATAGATTCTGCAAATATATTAAGCTTACTCAAGGGGCAATAACTGAGAGATAACACATGATTAGAAGTAAGCAGTAAGTACCTTTTAGACAAAAAAAAAAAGAAGAAAACTGTAAGATCCTTTGCTTTTACAAAGGATCACCTATGATTTTTTGCTCTGTTTTTGACAGTTCAGTTACAAACAGTTTTCCAAATACTTTTAATTACAGTATGCTAGAAGTTATGTACAACACAGAACTACTTTTCAGATAAGAATTCATGAAAAATTATTTCTTGGAAGATTTGTAGCAAACTTTAATGTTTTGAATTTGAATATCATCGTTTACGGATACGATATTTGAGGAGAGAAACTCCCAAGTTCTGTGAATCTGGATTGAAATTCTTAACATAATATTAAAACCCAAAATTGAGAGGTTCAAATTAATAGTTAAAATAGCTATTGTTTCCAGAGTTGAAAAACGGAACTAGTTCGCATTATCCTGTTATGTCAAATTGGTGTAAACGGCACCCCTCCTCAGGCCTCTGGCTAGCGCCTGCAGTGCTGTGATCAGTCTCTACGTCTAGTGTCCAGGCAGCCTGTGACTACAGCAAGTCTTGATGACACCTGATAGGTGGGGGCTGTCCTTTTCTCCTGAAACTTTTAGAGTCTGTTCTAAAATATACTCACAGAAGTGCCCTAACATAACACAAGTCCGTGAACCACATTTACTCTAATAATTCTACTCTGTTTTAAAAGAATCTGGGCTCTAGTCATGGCCTTCAGTGTGTTAACATCAGAGCATTTCCAAGTTCACTGTACATATCATATGCAGGCAACAAACAAGGTGGTAAAGCTTAGCAACTGTTTAAACTAAAGCTTAGTGATCATTTAAACTTTAAATGATTTAAATGATTATAGGTGTTCATGTAGGTTGTTAAAGGAGTGTTTTAAAAATGGTAGCAATAAGAGACAGAAATATTTACAAGGTGATGATCTAAAAGTAAGGAAAGTGACAGAACCAAAGACCACATTTCGAACCTTTGCTTCTCCACCCCCTTTCCTACTCACAGATACCACATAGGAAAACATTCATCTCTGTGATAAACTATAGTTTTGTCACTGGGGGCAAGCAGTGAGTCCCTAAACTCATATTCCAGAATTCAAATATTTCCCATTATTACCCCACCCCCTTTTCCCACCATCCCTAAGAGCAAACCTCAGAATACCATATGACCCATATTCTCTATGGGTCAGAACATTACAAATTACCCATGTCATGCATGACAATCAAAGGAATCAAAAAATCTGAAAAAGAACTATATCCTTAGGGAGAGTGACAATCTATAATATTATTAAAGAGAAATTCATAACAAAGAAAACTGGCATAGGGGGAAAATGCGGAAGAATGTCAAATACTGTTAAAGTGGCCCATGAACATCAAACAAGCCCAGTAGACCATCTTCCTGAGTTCTGAGAAGTAAAGGGAGACATCTTAATGAGAGGAAATAAGAATCAGAAGACATGCATACCAGCCTCACCTTCAAGAAACCAAAGAATCACCATCTGCCTTTCCTAAAGCCCCGCATCAGCATTCTCTATAAAATGAGGGCCTGTGTAAAGAATTTCTCCAGACCAAACGTCCTCGGTGCGTTTAAATATATTTTAGTTTATTCTGAACTGCCACCCCTCAGATTATTTTCCTGCTTTTATGTTTGGGCAAAGTTGTGAAGAGAATAAAAAAAATTGCACCCCTTGTAAATCCCAGAGTAACAGCTGTTGAGTACACACATATAAACTCCATTAGAATACTGAAAAGGGCCAGAAAACCTGTTCCAAAGTATTCAGAATCACCCGTTATAACAACATAAGTTTACGCTCCCTTGCTTTTGATAATGTTTTAAAATGTACCTAAAATATTTGCTGAAAGTTGAAAAGCCAAAAAAAGGTTTCTTTCGTGAGCTATACAGGATTTTTCTTTTAAAGAAGAGAAGGTATTTCTTAGTTTCAGTGGAGGGAAAATCTGTCTCCTTAGCAATAGATTCCTAATCACCTGATTTATGTGAAGGGTAAAGGTTAATGAATTAAGCTGTGTAAGCTTCAAAACTATCAAAGGAATTCAAAAGAGCCTTGAATTATGGAAAACAATGGCCCATCCTACATACATACCAAATTTTATGGGTTTTTTTGTCTCCTGCTTGAAAGCAGGAACATGGCATTAGTGACAATTGAAAAGAACTAATGAGGAAATATGACTACAGTGCTTGCAAGAGGAGTGTCCTAGGAGACCTTGTTACTGTTTGTGATGTGCTTCAAGCCCAAAAGAAGCTAATTGGAGCTGCCAGACACTGGTTTGCAAATCTCACTTTAAAGGACAGGCTCAATCACCTTAGAGGTGTGAAAAGAAATGTCCCCATTAGAGATGCATTAGTATGTGGCTTGGTGAATTTCTAAATAAACTTTAAGATGTTCTTCCCCTAAGTCACTTTTATATTTGAATAATTGATCTATCTTCCAGCAAAGGAAAAAAATACTAGACAAAACAACCCCAATGATTTAAAACAAAAGGTATAAAGAGTGCTGTAAAGTAATTGGCAAATAAATGCAATGGGGAGCTATGTATGTTTAAGGTTGAATAAACTCATAGATCAAACCTTAAAATTCCTGAAACACAAACACATCATATAAGTGATCTATGTGGGGGTTTTTGAAATGGAGCATCATTTTTATCATTTTGTGAAACTAAACAAGCCAACACGCCACCCCATGTTACATAGATTGTAAGTGGGTAAAGGCATAAGAAGCTGTCTCTCTCTCTCTCTCTCTCTCTCTCTCACACACACACACACACACACACACAAAAAAGGATTCACAAGATCTAAAGAGAGTAGCAAGGGAGCAAATTCCATCCAATTCAGTGCTGTGAAAGCCCATCTTGACTAACTCATATGGGGTCATTTAAATGATAGCAGAAGTCACCAAAACACAATTTGGCATCTTACAAAAAGAAATAATGATATC